GCCAAGAATGTACTTGAGCTGGTCCACTCGGACATATGTGGCCCCATGGAAACGCAGACACTTGGTGGTGCCAGGTACTTCATTACATTCATTGATGACTACTCAAAGAAAACTTATGTGTATTTTCTCCGAAACAAGTCAGATGCCCTGGAAAAATTTAAAGAATATAAGCAAGAAGTTGAGAATCAGCTGGGCACTCATATAAAAATTCTTCGATCAGACAATGGCTTGGAGTATGTCAATAAACGTTTTTCTGATTATTTAAAAAGTGCTGGAATCATTCATCAAACAAGCACACCATACACACCACAACAAAATGGCACAGTGGAACGAGCAAATAGAACACTAATTGAAAGAGCAAAGTGTATGCTTCTAAATGCTAACTTACCAAAAATGTACTGGGCTGATGCAATACATACCGCTGCTTATGTCATCAATCGTTCTCCGACTAAATCCCTGTCATACAAAACACCTGAAGAAATGTGGTCTGGACATAAACCAAATGTCAATCACATGCGCATATTTGGTTGTGAAGCTATGGTACACCTTCCCAAAGAAAAACGAAAGAAGTGGGACCCTAAGGCTCAGAAGATGATCTTCATTGGGTACTGTGATCACACAAAAGGCTACCGATTCATAATACCTGAAACTCGAAAAGTAGTGAAAAGCAGAGATGCTATATTTCTAGAGTCCACTGTGAAGAGAAACTATGTTCCTGTTGATCTATCAGAGAAATCTGCAACAAATGAAGATAGTATTAAAGAGAAAGTAGAAGATGAAAATTCTATACACGATAGTTCATATGACACTGTATATGAAAATAAATCTTCAGACAGTGATTACTTACCTGACACCTCTCTTGATAGTCCTAAACTCAGCAACATCACACTGAGACCTAGAAAGAAAATAATAAAAGGTACTATAGATATAGATGATTCAGAAGAAAATACTTACCTGTGTCACCATGAAGAACACCTCTCAGATATTCCTGCAACATATAAAGAGGCTTTAAATTCAGCAAATAAAGAAGAATGGAGAAGATCCATTAATGAAGAACTAGAAGCTCATCAGAAAAACAATACCTGGACATTGGTAGAAAAACCCCCAAATGCTAAATTAATAGGATGCAAATGGGTGTTCCGAGTCAAAGATGAAACAACAGGTCCACGCTATAAATCACGATTATGTGCCAAAGGATATGCTCAAACAGAGGGCATTGATTATAAGGAAACCTTTGCACCAACAGTGAGGTATGATTCTATCCGGTTATTATTATCTGTAGCTGTTCAACAAAACCTCGAAATTATCCAACTAGATGTCAAGACTGCCTTCTTATATGGTGAACTTGAAGAGACTATATTAATGACTCCACCACAAGGACTGAGCTGCAAAGAAAATATGTGTTCCAGTCGACCCTCACATGAAGTTACAAAAGGGAGAAGGCGAGCCTGAGAAGAACATACCATACAGAGAAGCTGTGGGATCTCTCATGCATTTGGCCATAGTGAGTCGACCTGATATCATGTTTGCTGTCAGTCTGGTGAGTCGATTCCTTAATAGTTACAACCAAACACATTGGAATGCAGTTAAAAGGATTTTAAAATATTTGAAAGACACAAAGGAGTATGGCTTGTGTTACACTAACACCACACAACCCTCAGAAGTGACTGGCTATAGTGATGCCGACTATGCAAACGATTTCGACACCCGTCGATCAGTTACCGGCTATGTTTTTATGAAAAATGGAGCCGCTGTAACATGGGCCAGTCAGAGACAACCAACTGTGGCCCTATCCACGACGGAGGCAGAGTTTATGGCTGCCTGTGCTGCCACTAAAGAGGTGATGTGGCTCAAACAATTTTTGTCTGAAATTGGAGAATACACACAGGATATACTATATCTTCATCTAGACAATCAAAGTGCAATCAGTGTTATTAAAAATGTGAATTTCCATAAACGTTGTAAACACATAGATACCAAATATCATTTCATTAAGGAAAAATATCAGCAGAAGGTTATAGATTTAAAGTATGTCAGTAGTGACACCCAATTTGCTGATATATTAACCAAAGCATTGTCTAAACACAAGTTTCAATTTTTAAGATCCAATCTTGGAATGTGTCCATGTACTTAATTTGTTAAAGTAAATTTACATAATTATATATCTTATTATTGATATAGAATTTGATAGGAACATTATTAAAATTGTATTATTTTTGTTTGTAACTAGTTAACAAGGCTCGAATTCAAGGGGAGTGTTAAAATTAAAAAAAAAAAAAATGTAATTTGAATTTCGCGCCTTATGACGCCAACTCACGCTTGGCTACTTGTAATATTTTTCTATCTCCCGCCTTTTTCTTTTCTAATGTCAATGTCTGTTAAAACATCGTAACGAGTACCGGTATAATAAAGATTTATTGTAATTAAACCAGTGAATACGCCTTTAATTTAACAGATATAATAAGAGGAGAAGAAGAAAAAACTATAGTTTCCACTTCCCTCGGTGAATTACTGCAGGAAACAGAATGAATTAAGCCTAAAGGCACAAAGAGGAGACTGTACAACTGGATGAAGCCCAGTCGCCAAGTATTACGGAAATTTGACTAAAAACTAAGTGGGTCTTATGTGTGAGCTGTTAGCTGCTTCCAATAATAGGTATGGCAAAAGCGCTTTAAGTGTTTTGTGGGTGTCAATGAGTGGCATTAACTGCTTACCATTAGGTGATACGTCTGCTTGTGTGCTTCCTATTGCATAGAAAGAAGATTCCTCAATTTTCTACTATATTTTTCGTTCACATGAAGTTGCGAAAAAAACCAGAACGACATAATTGTAAAACAAGGATTTCGATTAAAAATCCATTCCCAGTGATACACAATGCTGAGACTGTGAAATCTTGCATCCGTGTAATTGGTAACAAATTGTTAGTTAAGTACATGGGGGAATGGGGTGGTTACGGGGTGAATGGGAGGAGTATGGGGTCTAAGGGAGGATAAGGGGTGTAATCTCAATCAAGTGATGTCTGAGTGTTGAAGGTTTAAATTAATGGTTTTCGATCAATATTTTAGAAACAGATTTTTTTTTTATTTATTTCAGTATTAGAATGGGTGTCTGGTATTTGGTAATAGGCTCATCCCTTTTTTTATAGCTGGTGAAAGGAGCTGTTACATTGTGCACTGTGCCACATCACATCAACAGCCTATAAGTGGCCACTGTTGACCAAAGGCTTCTCTTCACACGGAGAAGGTTTGATCATTAATCACCACGATTGCTCAATACGGGTTGGCACTGACACATGTCAAATGACAGCTCATGCACATAGACCATAGATGAAAACAAATCAACGGATGACGTCATAAAATCCTACATGTGAAGTTTACATGCGAATTAACAAGAATAGAAAATCCCAACGAACAAATGTTGGGCATAAAGCCCGACAGGCACGAACACCTCGCCTGGTCGGAGCTACCTCCTTTTCCGATCTTAGGGAACTCTTTTCCTAAATACTCATCGAAATCTAATAGGCGTTACCTTATGCTACATTATGACAAATTACTTTTTTATTTTCAAGAAATCACGGGCATTTTACCGAACAAACTCAAGTACAGGGTGCGTTCACTCGATTAACGAGCCAAAGTTTGATATAAATAACATTCACAAAACATAACATCACGCCTTTTATCCCCGAAACAGAGGTCTACATTGTGGCACTTAATGCCACTGTACAATGTAACACCCACTTTTCACTATTTATATTATGAGTCCCATGTAATAGGGGGTGATAGGCTCACCCTATTGTCATATACCGAACACAATTCAAGACTCCGTGCTACTACTGGGAGTTTTTTTTAAAAACCCAATAATACTTTGCGTGACCCGGAAATGGAACCCGACACCTCTTACCCGGCAGTAGCACTTGCGACCACTCGGCCAACGAGGCAGTCACAAAATTGACAAAAAAGAACCGAAAAGCCTAATTGCAAATACTCCTAGCGGACTATCGAAAAGAAAATTCGGTACAAAATCCAAGAGAAAATTTGGTAAAGCGCCTGGCGATAACTTGATAAAGTTTAAACGAATTTGTAAAATAAGAGAACGACTAGGTATATTGAAATAGTTAATCTTATTCCGTTCAATTCTAAACGTTTGCTGTCGTAACGAGGGTCTGCTGTTAGGGATCTTGTCTTGTATGTAATTAGGTTCAAAGTTAGATTTTTGTTTTGAATAAAGTAAGTACATAATAGAATGTTAGGATTTCCGAAATTTTTGCGTGGTATGGTAAAGTACTAAGTAGCAAGTGCGACTGCCGAACAAGAGGTTTTGTTTCGATTCGTCGGTCGGGTAAAGAATTGTTAGGATTTCCATTTCAATAAAATCCGTAGTAGGAGCAAATAGAGATAGAGAAAGAGACAAAACAACATAAGTAGGTTAAAATTTAAAAGGTTTAAAACATGTATAATAAGTTACATGAAATATTTATTTATTTATTTGACTGCACGGTTGGTGCGGTGGCTGGGCAACCGGCTGCCGTGCAACGTGTCGCGGGTTCGATTCCCGCACGGGACAACACTTTGTGTGATCCACAAATTGTTGTTTCGGGTCTGGGTGTCATTGTGTATGTGAACTTGTATGTTTGTAAACGCACCCACGACACAGTAGAAAATCCTAGTGTGGGGCAACGTTTAAAAAAAAAGACAAAAAAAATTGAACACGATTTATTTCTACATACAATTTATTTTCATTATTACAACTATAAAACTGTAATTAACTAAAAATTATGAGTTACTCTCGTAAATGTACTGAGAATAAATCTACTAGTTTCGAGTCTCAGAGGGAGTCTTCCTCCTTATAAGCAACGTGCGTTGTCGTGGCGACGTGGCGCAACCTACTGTCGACTAGCGGAACTAGGAGAGCTTTTCTCGGTATATTTACTTGAGTAACTGGTAATTTTTAATTAATACAATATGTCTTACGACATTTATTATATACCAAAGACTATAATGTTAAGAAACTTTGGTTTTAGTGACTCCATTCTGATGCTGGATTCCATTTTCACCACGGCTCTTGTCTGGTTGAGGGTTCTTTGAGCTGTAAAAAACATAAGTGTGAGATAGTCATGCTTCAACACCGTTAGACCGGCTCGACCGAAGTGATACCACGGCCTCACCCGAAACCGACGTGAAACAACGCTTGCATATAAAATTCATAGGAAATTTTCATATTATTTTGATTTTGGTATAGAATGACAGTAGAGTAACGAAAGAAGTATACAGAGCGGGTATGAATGGGGCTGTCGGTAGACGGACATATTCTGACTAGATTGATGATATATTAAAGAAGGGCCAAATTAAAAGTACCCTTAACCGACGAGCATGCATGAAAAGATTGATGACTGTTGATGAAGCAAAAGAGTTAAGTAAGAATCGTAGCAATAGGGATGATGACAGGGTATGAAAATTAAAAATCTAATTAGTCCGTAGTTAGGTAATGAAAAAATATTAGACACGTACTTTTTATTTTGTCGTATAATAAAATAGTACTTAGATAAAATGAATCAAAGTCTAGGAGTGGGGGCTAAAACGTCATTTCTACGTATAAAATGTACATAGAAGTGACGTCACGCGACATTTCAAATCAATATATCGTCGAAAGTATTTGTTTTTGTAAGAAAATAAAAAATACGTGTGTAATATTTTAAAACCATCTATCAGACGGACATTAAAATAAAAATTAGGCATCTACCCTATTGGGGTTCTTTGCATACCCCCCAAGGTAGACAGGCGTGAAGTATGTGTTTTGATATTTTAGGATTTTTATAAGTGTCAAAAAGATAAGGATATATATAGTAGTGGTAGCGTACTTATTGAAGAAGAGTTGGTTGGTGATGTTGATCAGTGGCGCCTCCACAAACAGCCACATTGCGTAACTTAGTCCTATTGATATCACTAACGTCGATGTAGTGTCTAAGACCTGGAAGATAAAATGAACTTTATTGTAAACGACATAAGTTACTAAATACTAATTGGTAAAGAGTGAAGAAAATATTACAGAACAAATGAAAAACGAGAAATAGTCGTTTAGCTTTTGGTGCTACACCAGATACATATTCGATTTTCGACCTTATGAAGTACAGAGTTTATCTAAACAATAGTTCTTGATACTCACCACGCCGTAAAGGTCAAATTTGTGTGGCACTCGTTGTGCAAACTTGTGCCTCTGTACGATAATGGGATGGATCATATAAATACCGTAGGACAGTCGACTGAGAGGCGTGAACACTGACCAGCCCAGGATATGGGAGACTATAGCTGCGAAAAAGTTAAAAGTAATTATAAACATTATTTAGTAGGCCATAGGTACTAATTTGGCTTGGGCCTTATAGTTACAGTGACAGCTCTACAGCTTATAACGACTTGATAAATGTGGCAGTCGTTCAATAAGTTCAAAACTCAAGAAAAATAAAAACAGTAACAATATACCGAGAAAACAATTTGATTTTTTTGTCTCTAAACTAATAAACGCTCTACTTAATGAAAAAGCAAGATTTCTCAAATTGTGAAAGATGTGGTATTATTGACGATATCCAACACATGATAGTAGAATGTAACAAATATGTTGGAGGCCGAGAATCACTGATACGTGAATTTAAATTGAATGCGTTAGATGTTGGTTGTATTTCATCTACTCTAGCGAATCCTTCTTCGCTTGCAACCATTGCTCTATAAGATCTTCATGCATCAGTGATACTTTGACCAATTTAATTAATTAAACTGTCAAATACCGCGAGGACACCGGTGACCGCAACCTATTGTTCTTTGATTGTGTCTATAATGACGGTACTCAAAGAGTTAAGTAATGAGTATGTAAGATGTAAGAAAATATATCTCAACGGGGTTGACGTGTTCCTGAACGAAAAGTCCATAAAACCAAAGATAATAAAAAAATTACTAGGTACACACATCTCAAAATCACACACATAGCCCACTCTAAAAGCAAGAATCTTGTGACTCATTTAGTAAAAATTGTATTTGGCAATACTTACGAACAGTTCCATATTCACACATCCCTATAATGCAGCAAATGGCTGCAGCCCAAACGAGTCTGTTTGTGCCTGCGAGGAAGGCAGCTTCCAATGGATTATACTCTCTGTATTTAGTGATATATCCGATAGACAACATGGCTAGCATCGCTCCCAGACTTAGAGCTGTACCAAATACTGACCAGGTCTGGAAGAAAGAAAGCTGTTGTGGTCAAATTGTTAATTCTATATTTCTCTTTAAAACTAAGTCCACTGACGATTTTCTACTGCTGAGTACAGTCACTCTGAAATCATGGGCGTGCGGCGCCGAGCGTTCCGCGCGCGCCTCAAAGAGCCATCAGACCACCACAGATGGGGCCTAACAGGACTTAATGGGTTGACGGGGCTCCCGCTCGAAGAGCAGAAGTAGGAACGGGGTGGTTTTTAGTCAGTAAGAGTCTGATACTCCCTGCCGCCTCACCCAGGCGGGAGAAGTTATTCGATTATTTTCTCCCCTTAAAAAAATATCACCCTAAAATAGCTAATTATGATCCTAATTATGAAACATACATCTTTAATCCACGGATCACCACTTTGTAATATTTAATACATTAATAAATTAATGGCAACTATATTTAGCCAACCCATTTCTGTTTGTCCATCGCCTATGGACACAAACACAACATTTTATATTTTATACTACAAGACAAAAAACTAATAAAACGAACAGTAACTCTGATTTTTTTAATCATGCAACTATAAAATAATCAAGTCAAGAAGACTTACCATAGAAACAGATTTCCTGTAATCAGCTGGTTTGTAGATGGCCATGAAGTATCCCATGGCGACGCCCACGAGGTACGCACTGGCGCGGCTAAAGGGACTGGTGTAAGTATAAGTAACCTCCCATGCATCACGGATTTCCCGGATAATCTTACTGGAAAGACAAGTCTAATTAATCACATGATAGGAAACCTTTGTTAGGAATTATCTCTCTGGTATATACTTTTTTATGGGATAAGCCGGTAAACGAGCAGACGAATCACCGGTAAGCCATCGGCGTCGCCCATGGACAACCGGAACACCAGAGGTGTTATAAATGTATTACCGGCCTTTTGGGGATCACGAATTTGAGGAATGTTGGGGATCCAGTTTGGGGAGAAAACACAAGTATTGTATCCCGTCGGTTTTCTCTGACACCGTGATATCACTTTCGGTCAAACCGGCCCAGTTGTGACTCTTCCTAATATTTCTTTCGCTTCATCTAAATTAATTAATCTTGAATGTAATACTTCCTTTTCGCCTGTTGTCTTAGTAGCTCTATTAAATTGTGTGTAAGCCTATTACGTACACTGGGAAATACACAACACATATTGGGAAACCCAAAACCAAATCATTGTTTGGTTGAAAAATCTTCTGACTCGTCTGGTGTTCTAAGTATCTATAGGCTATGGATGCTGATCATCAAGTTATTCATCGGCCTTGTTGGCCTCGTTTCATAAAAATCCTATCTTTTAATGCTAGCATTATCAGTACCTAATTATAAACCTTACCCAATATCCATAAAGTGCACAGCAGGCAATCGGAACCAGTAGGTCAACACTCCAGGAATGATAATGGAGAAGACTGCAGCAGCTGCATAAACCCCAAAGCCAAATCTTCTGTTCTTCTGATAGAAGAAGATGAGAACAGTGCCTAGGATAGCCAGCTGGTAGTCGCAGGGTACGTACCAGGTCACTGCATGACACTGGAATGAAGAAACAATGGTAGGTACCTTTTATTCTATGAAGGCCGTTGTGCATATTTTGTAAGCAGCAGTTTTCATCTGGTCAGTTTACAGCTAGTGTCATAGATAGGTCTCTAGGTGATTCTATTAATATAAAGAATACAATTTTTTATATATTGTATCCTTTGTAAGATTTTTGGAAATAGAAAAGCTCAATAATATTGTTATTTAGTTTGAGAAATATTTAATAACTTAGGACTCTTGCTAGCATTGTTCTCACATATGCGTACAGGATTGGAATGTATCAGAGACATTGTAGACCGTGTTTTTTTTAAAGAGTAACGAATGGAGGTTTTTGCTCGTTCTTCTCCATTCGAATCTACATTTTGGAATGAGTACCTAGCTTCACCTAGCTTCACTGACGGACTGACTGATAGGCTATTATTTATTTTGTATTTATTGTCGTTTAGTAAAGTACCAAATTATGGTTTAATTAAAATAAATGCTTTGACTTTGCAATAGGGTAGTTTCCTAAATTTTATTTTAATCTGTTAAGTCTGGTAAATTATTTTAAAACATTCATTACAAACGTATTTTTTCTTTTCTTACAAAATTAAATGCTTTCGACGATATATTGATTTGAAATGTCGTGAGACGTCACAGCGTGCTACAAAATGTAGCACGTAACTTTATAACTTTAACGCATGTGCAGCGGCTGGCAAGCCGGCCAATCACCGGGTCGGCAGCAAGGGCTGCTCCCCTCCTGCTAAAAAGGGCAAAGGTAGGCCCTCCGCCGCCCCTGCCGTTTCCGCCGCCGCCGCCGCCACTGCCACCGCAGTCGCCGCTGCCGCCACTGAGGAGGTCGGTATGGACTGTCAATAGTGGCTCCATTCCGCCTCCTCCAGGCGAACATCAACCACTGCGCCGCTGCTCAGGATCTCCTGCTCCAGAGCATGGCGCAGTGGTCGATCAATGTCGCCGTGGTCTCCGAGCCGTATTTTGTCCTGCCCAGGGATCACTGGGTGTCGGACCTGGACGGCTCGGTGACCATCATCTCGTCAGCCGCCGCCGGTACCCCGACTCTTGAGGCTGCTCAAAGAGGCCGGGGTTGTGTCGCAGCACGGTTCGGAGAGCTCGCTGTGGTGGGCGTGTACTTCTCTCCGAACCGAACTCTCGCCGAGTTCCACAACTCCTTGAGGGAGTTGGTCACTGTCGTCGTCGGGTTCCGTTCCCTCCCCGTGCTCGTCCTCGGGGACTTCAACGCCAAAAACTTGGCTTGGGGTTCCCGGTTCACCGACGTCCGGGGTAGGATGGTGGAAGACTGGGCCCTTGAGACAGGCCTAGTCGTCCTGAACCGGGGTTCTGTCCCCACGTGTGTGCGGATGCAGGGCGAGTCGGTGGTGGACATATCGTTCGCCAGCCCTGCTCTGTCACCGCGTATTGTTGGCTGGCGCGTCATGGAGGAGGTGGAGACGTACTCCGACCACCGGTATATCCGGTTCGACGTCTCCGCCGAGTCCGCAGACCCGCCGGTCAGACAGGCCCCATGTGGCCCGCGTTGGGCGCTGAAACAGCTGGACCGGGAGCTGCTCCTGGAAGCCGCCATCGTGCAGGCCTGGGTGATACCACCGGTCAGGCCTGCCGACATAGACGATGAGGCCAAGTGGCTCCAGGACGCCATGTCCAGGATCTGTGACGTGGCGATGCCCCGGATCCGGTCGAGGCAACAAAAGCGCCAGGTGTACTGGTGGTCGCAAGAGCTAGCAGCTCTACGCAAGGCGTGCACTGCTGCGCGACGCCAGTACACTAGGCACCGCAGGCGCCGCATCCGTCCTCCTAATGCGGAGGCGAGAGAGGCGGAGTTGTACGAGGGATACAGGGCGGCCAAGGCCCTCCTCAAGGTGGAGATATTGCGGGCCAAGGAGGAGGCCCGCCGAGAGATGCTGGGGACTCTGGACAGAGATCCGTGGGGACGCCCGTACCGGATGGTACGCGACAAGCTCCGCGCCTGGGCTCCCCCGCTCACCCAGAGTCTCCGGCAAGAAGTCTTGGAGGAGGTGATTGGCACCCTGTTCCCTCGACTGTGGAGGGGGTTCACCCCTCCGTATATGACACCGCCCCCTGCGGTGCCCGACGGGCGCTACAGCGACGACGACGACGACATCGTCCCAGAGTGACCGAGGCAGAATTGAGAGCGGCGGTGCGCCGGATGGGCGCCAAGAACACCGCCCCGGGACCCGACGGCCTGCATGGCAAGGCATGGGTCCTGGCCTCAGAGGCTCTCGGGCCTCGATTGATTGGTCTCTACAGCGCATGTCTGGAGAGAGGCCAGTTCCCGCTTCTCTGGAAAGCGGGAAAACTGGTCCTCGTGCGGAAGACGGGGCGCCCTGCGGACTCTCCGTCCGCGTACCGGCCCATAGTGTTGCTCGACGAGGTGGGGAAAGTCTTCGAAAGAATCATTTCGAACCGCCTCGTCGCGCACCTGACGGACATTGGGCCGGACTTGTCGGACGGCCAGTTCGGCTTCCGCAGAGGGCGCTCCACGGTGGACGCCATCATGCGCGTTAGAGACCTCACGACGGGGACTGCAGTGTCCAGGGGTAAGGTCGTAGTGGCGGTGTCTCTGGACATCGCCAACGCCTTCAACTCCCTGCCCTGGAGCTGCATCTTGGAGGCACTCCGATATCATCGGGTGCCTACCTACCTCCGTCGTGTAATCGAGGCTTACCTGACGGACAGGTCCGTCAGCTACCCCGGTCACCGGGGCGAGTGGAACCGGCGAGAGATGTCACGCGGTGTTCCACAGGGTTCGGTTCTGGGGCCGCTCCTGTGGAACATCGGCTATGACTGGGTGCTGCGCACCGACCTCCCGAACGGCGTTAGCACTATATGCTACGCCGACGACACGCTGGTGCTGGCGCACGGGAGGTCACACCAGGCGGCGGCCGACTTAATGGCGACAGCGGTTGCGACAGTCGTTGAGAGAATCCGGCAGTTGGGACTCGAGGTGGCGCTCCACAAGTCCGAGGCCATGTGTTTTCATGGCCGCGGGAACGCGCCACCTCCGGGTGGGTCCCAAATAACGGCGGGAGGGGTTACCATCGGCGTCGAGACGACGATGAAGTACCTAGGACTCGTCCTCGACAGTCGGTGGAACTTCATAGAACACCCGACGTTTGGCTCCAAAGTTGGAGAGGACGGGGGCTGCGTTCAAACGCATCCTCCCCAACCTCGGGGGGCCAAACGCCTCCTGCCGGAGGTTATACGCCGGGGTCGTGCGGTCCATGGCCCTCTACGGCGCCCCTGTTTGGGCGCCTAACCTGTTGCGGCGTCCCGCTCGGACGCTGCTCATGGCACAGAGGGTCATGGCGATCCGAATGATCCGCGGATACCGCACGATCTCTGGGGAGTCGGCGAACCTCCTTGCCGGATTACCGCCGTGGGATCTGGAGGCGAAGGTGCTCGCGCGCGTGCACAGCATGCGCGCGGAGGCACGTCGCCGGGGCGAAACTCCGCTGCCGCGCCAGATAAGTGCGTGGCGGGATGAGCTCCGGCGCGATCTCATGGCGGAATGGCGGCAACGGCTGTCGCAACCGAGGGCTGGGCTCGCTGCCATCGCAGCGGTAAGTCCCCTCTTTGAGGAGTGGCTTGAGAGACGCTACGGCGTCCTCACCTACCGCCTGACGCAGGTCCTCACCGGACATGGCAGTTTCGGGAGGTACCTGTGTCTGATGGGGCGGGAGGAAACGCCCGGGTGTCATCACTGCGAGGACCGCCCTGAGGATTCGATTCGATGATTTTCCCCCCTTAAAAAAAAAAAAAAAAACTTTATAACTTTATACGAGAAAATAAAAAAATACGTGTGTAATATTATCCATGTCCATTATCTAACTGATGGACTAATTAGATTTTTAATTTTATTACTATGGAAATTACCCTATTACTAATATGTAGGTAAGTTGAATAAATAAATACGTTTTTATGATATTGCAGGCTTAGAAAAGAATCAATTGTTTCCATTGAGTACTGCTTCTCCTAATTGGATTGTAATATGGGAATAAACTTACGATTTCTTTTATATCCGTATTTATCATGAGCAAGCTCTTATGCCAAGTTTTTTCGCAAACATTTGTCTCCTCTTCGACGCCCAGATACCAACCGGGGCCATCACCAGTGTGTTTAGACACGGATATTAAGTAGAAAACGATTACTGCGAACGGTCCTATTAACCTGCAATACAAATTACAACTTTAGTTTCACATTAATCCCGGTATTTTCTTCTAATTTCTTTAAAGAATATCTCGTCTACTACCATCTGATTCTATCTGTAACCACTTTGGGGATCATAATAATGGCTTTTTTATAACTTTCATGAGACATACTAAATTAATTATTATGTTTTTGCATACTGCAGAGGGCGTGCTGGGCCCGCACCGCAGCAGACTCGAATAGCCAGTAGCAGAGCGACAGTCGCCGCGTCGCGGGTCGCCGAATGCTGCTCTAGCATGGCTTAAAACTAGTCGAGTTCCTCGTCAAATTATTACGTGAGTAAGCCATAAAACAAAATAATGCCGTTAATTTTGAGACAAATCTTGGCCAGGGTGAGGCGAGACGGAGTCATTATCATCATATCAGTCATAGGACGTCTACTGCTGAACATAGGTTTCCTCCAATGACTTCCAGATAGGCCGGTTGGAAGCGACCTAGAGGGAATGTCAGACTCTTATTGACTAAACACCACCTCGTTCCTACTCTTGCTTCGAGTCGGAGCCCCGGTAATTCACGAGGTCGTCCACAGCCCTGGTGATTTTATAAACCTAGATATTTACATTGACCACATAGGCGAAATAATGGTATATAGTAATTGGGTCTTTTTATGGTCTTTTGCTTACCTGATGTAACGTTTTAAGAGTACACTCAGTAGATTCTGTCGTCTTCCCAGTAGACCTTTGATGTGTAGTAGACCAGATATAGCGAAGAAAGTATCCACGATGATATCAATGTGAAGGAACAAGCCGCCCATGCCTTCAATGGCCTGAAAATTGTTTTTTTAAAGGGATAAATTAATAGGTAACCTGTCTATAATAAGGTTATTGTGCAGAACTCCAAGCTAAGTAAAGTCAGAAAGGACTTTAAGCTGAAGATATCTTTACTAATATTATAACTAACTATATTATACTTCCACGCTGTAACTACTAAACCGATTGCTTTGAATTTTTGCAGACGTAAAATTAGAAGTCTTGATTAAATAATAGGGTACTTTTTATCCCGGAAAAATTTGATATTTCCAAGGGAAAACAAAAGTATTGGTATAGATGGCGCTGTGTGTATTGGTATATGTCACATAGGCTACTTTTTATCCTTTTGTGACGCGAGCGAAGCCGCGGGTAAAAGCTAGTAAAGTATATTTTAATTTACACTTACCAAGTCGTAATCTCTCGAATTACTTATACCAGATAGTGCCATGTAGAACAGCACATGCACAGATATAACAGTGACTGCATTCAGGAACTTAATACCATTCATCACGTGAATCTCATCCTTATTGTCTTTTATTAAGTCTTCTCGATTCTTGTTCATGCAGAAAGATTTTGTTATGATTGTTACTGGAATTATAAGGTTCATTTTTAATTGAAATTGCTATCTAAATGTGAGTTTGGGTAGAGATAGATGTACAGACTTCGTTGCTTACAGTTTTATTAAACTGATGGACAAAAATCTACATATATTATGTATGAAACTAGAAATAAGTCGCTAAAATAAATGATCAAGTATGACTTCTTAACGGCTGAAAATTAAATATTTTTTCACAGTATTTATCATGGCAAATAAACAAAAGGTCATTGACATAAATGCGACTGGTGAGCGAAAAGTTAGCGAGAAAGAAAGTATTGACTTGAATTCAAAATATGGTAGAAATAGTAAAATTGAAAAAACTCTTACTAAAACTTTTCGAGGATTGATCTTCAGACGATACATGCATCCTATAGTAAGTAGAAGCCACTGCTATTACAGCCAATGAGAGAGTCATTGCTCTGAAACAAAATGTAGGCGCTTTTAACCTGCGAAGTGTCGGAATACAGAGGCCTTTTTACGTTGAAAGTAATCGAACCGAGTACGCGTTCGGCGCTGTGATTGGCCGGCTCCAATGAACCGACCAATCAGAACGCCGGACGAGGTTTCGTTTTGATTACTTTAAACCAAAATGAAACTCGAACTAAACCCTTAGATCTACGCGAGACGTAATATGTTTTCTATCGTGTTTCATATATCGAGAGACAAGAGTTTAAATAAATAAATAAATAAATAAATTTTATTTATTTATTTAAATATAATGTAACGTAATGTAAATTTTATCAATAAGACTGACAAAATACATTGGCACTACTGGAATCGGCTTACTGCTGCGTGAGCAGACGTCATGCATTCTTAAATGTTCTACAGTCGGTGGCGCTGTGGACTGGGTCGCTCCGTTCCCTACGAAATGGTTGATCGGACCGATTGCTGGCCCTCACGTCATGCTCGTGAACGGGCGCCTTCTGCTGGAGCAGGTCGGCTCGCTCATCGCGCGTGTGGGCCGGTCCAGTAAGGTTAATGTAAATGTAATAAAACATGTATTGTGTATATATAGATATTAGACACAACCTTCTTTGTGGAAAAAAAATGTGGTTAATGTAGCACGTAAGATTTTTGTAACAATTAATTTTGACTGTAAATTAAAAGATAATGTAATGGAATGACAAGGGCACGGACAAGAGTCCGTGGAGAATAAGAAATGTAACATTAAAAAAAAAAAAAAAACATAACATAACTTGTTGCCTTTTATCCCCGAAGAGGTAGGCAAAGGTGCACATTACGGCACTTAATGCCCCTGTACAATGTAACACCCACTTTTCACTATTTATGTTATTAGTTCCATGTAATAGGGGGTGAGCCTATTGCCACATATTGGGCACAGTTCCAGACTCCGTGCTACTACTACTGAGAATTTATAAAAACCCAGTAATAATATGCCCGACCCGGGAATCAAACCCGAGACCTCTTGCCCAGCAGTCGCACTTGCGACCACTCGGCCAGCGAGACAGGGGGTGTTACATTGTACAGTGGCATTAAGTGCCGTAATGCCCCTGTACAATGTACATGATAAAAGGCGTGATGTTATGTTATGATGAAAAAGTAACTTTTAGAAAGACATATATAACATCACGCCTTTTATCTCCGAAGGGGTAGGCAGAGGTACACATTACAATGTAACACCCACTTTTCACTATTTGTTATGAGTCCCATGTAATAGGGGGTGAGCCTATTGCCATTAATTTTTAGAAAGAAACGCAGCGAAATGCTTTGGTGGTGTTTAAAAGGTATTTTATTTATAACTAGCGGCCCGTCCCGGCTTCGCACGGGGGGACTTAAGATTTTTTACATAGTTTTACGTTTTATTTATATTTATTCTCAGTTTTTTTAGCGACCTGCCCTCCGTTGTCGCGTCTTAACCCATTTGGCGCCTCTGTACCCAATTGGGTACAGCTAATTAATTGAGGGTATACAATAAATTTACTAATCTATATTTGTTTTTTTCGACCTATAATATAAAGTGATAGTTCAAGCATCAAACAAATCACAATTTATGTGGGTATATTCATATAATCTGTCACAGTGAGGATTTCAACTTTACGATATAATCGTTTATCGAGGTAAGTTCACTAATATAATAATTTGTTTGTGTTTTCATAACCTAAGTTTCTGATATATTTTTTTTTTGTTTTATACATCCTTATTCGTAAAATAATTAATAAAAAACTATTTAACAATTAGTATTTACCAAGTTATCGTGCTTGAAAGATCACTGTACCCAATTGTGTACAGCGGCCGAATCTATATAACGATTGTGCTAATTGTTCTAGGATTTCGTTACCATGAGTTCGATAAATTTTAACGTTTCTAACTGTTACAAAGGCTTAGAGGAAGCAGTTAATACTGTTTTGGATGAGAGTGACAGTGATGGCGAATATGACTTTGCTGTTATACCGCCAGAACCTAGCGTCGTTACAGATGAAGAAGAAGGCGTCGACGAGGACATGGTTACCGCTACTTTGCCGCAGGATGTGCCTGGTAATATTGAGGTTTTTAGAGCCAACGAAGACATCATTCAAAGTGATGACAGCAGCGACGACGAACCTTTGGCAGAAAAGACAAAGAGAAGGCGACAGCAACTATGTCAGCCTGTATGGCGTAAGTGTTCCCCTATATACTCTTCTACGACTGAAGAAAGATCTGATGTGCAACAAAGACAGGAAGCAGTAAAAGAACAGCTCGGAGAACTTAGTCCCGTACACATATTTGAAAAAATTTTTGATGAAGAAGTAATAAACCTGATAATTACTAACACAATTTTATATGCTAACCAAAATAACAGACATACTTTTCAGTTAGATTCTATTGATTTGAAAAAGTTTATAGGCATATTGATATTGTCTGGATATCATAAATTACCCAGAGAAGATTTGTACTGGTCTTATGATGAAGATGTCGGTGTTGAAATGGTATCAAAGGCCATGACACGGCAAAGATTCCGGGATATAAAAAGAATCTTCATTTTGTGAACAATGACGTAGCAACTACAACCAGGGACAAAATGTTCAAAGTCCGACCATTAGCTGATATTCTAATGAAAAATTTCTGCAGTGGGGTATAATACATAAGAATATTTCAATTGATGAATCGATGGTAAAGTAATTTGGCCATCACTCTGCGAAGCAATTTATTCGAGGAAAACCGGTGCGATTTGGCTATAAGAACTGGGTAGCAGCAAGTTCAACGGGATACTGTTATACTTTTGATTTTTACTGCGGCAAAGCCCTCGAAGCCTCTACTGACCCTTTAGGATCAAGAGTAGTCAAATCGTTATTACAGAAACTGAGGACTGATCCAACAAACCATCAAATATTTTTTGATAACTTTTTACCAACTATAATCTCTTATTCGAGCTCAAAAAAGAAGGGTACCGAGCAACTGAACCATTCGAGAAAACAGAACGAAGAAATGCCCTCTGAGAAACACTAAAGATATGAAGAAAGAAGATCGTGCTTCATATGATTACAGGTTTGATAAGCAAAATGAAATATTATTAGTGAGATGGATGGATAATAGTGTTTGTACAATGGCGACAAATTACGATACCATTGAACCACTGGGAGTTGTAAAGCGATGGTCTCCAACACAACGTCAAAAGGTTGATGTCAACATACCAAAACTATTTCAAACATATAATAAAAATATGGGGGTGTCGATGAATTAGACCAATCAATTGCACTGTACAGGATTGCTGTTTACGGAAAAAAGTGGTGGTGGGTTTTGTTTACCTACATGGTTGATATGGCGATTGCAAATTCATGGCGTTTGCATGTTCTGAGTCATACTGATAAAATGGACCAGCTACAGTTTCGACGAGCTATTGCAAGATATTACTTACGCCAAAAAACAGACCATAAAACTCGACCGTCATCCTCAATAGTGCAAGGTTTGCCTCAAGATGGTGTGGGGCATTACCCAAAAAAGATTGAAAAACCATTGCGATGTGTTGTTTGTCACGCGAGAGTTAGTTGGCAATGCAAAAAGTGTATAAAAACATTATGTGTGGAAAAACAATGTTTTGAAAATTTTCATCGATAAACCGCCGCTGTACCCAATTGGGTACACCCCTCTCCTGAAAAGCCTAATTTCTTTTTTCAATATTTTTTATTTTTTTATGTTTATTTGATTCATAGACAACATGAAAATAAAAGTTTTGTAATAATACTACTGCTGTTTTATTTTTGGCGGTTAATGGGTTAAGGTAACCGATTGTACAATTCAAAAGTTATCTAGAGCAAACTTTTATAAGGATTGAACCATTCATTAAAACGATTGTTATGGGTAAACTATAAAAGGTAGACATATGCTCTCGCGGACTTTTTTAAAAATAATGTTAAGATAAACAATTCATCTATAGAACATTTTTGTATAACTTTAACTATATGCTCAGCGCACGCCACGGAAAGCCTCAGAAACGATACTTTTCCCCCGTTTTTAAAACATTTTTGGTTACTGCTCCACAACTATAGGACCTAGCGTGATATTATATAGCCTATGTTACTTCTGAATAATGCAGCTTTCGAATGGTGAAAAAATTATTGCAATCGGTTCAGTAGTTTTTGAGTTTATTCATTACAAACATACAAAAATACAAAAATACAAATCTTTCCTCTTTATAATATTAGTATAGATAAATCTCCTTTAGAACTGTCTCATGCTGTCACTAATTAAGTCGTGGGAGACACGTTCATGTACATACTAAGGTTACAGATCATTGTTAATTTGAGATCATGAACTTGACAGTAATCAGTCTCAGATTAACTGAGCCATTATCATTGTTATATTTAATGATAGTTTTTCTCAAGGAAAGAAGGGGCAGAAGTACAAAGTCTATGTGACTTTTTAGCTGACTGCAGGAAGAGTTTGGTTTTGTTATTAGTACCTATTGTTTTTAACCAGTATTTTATTTATTTATTTTACACTTCTGTATAATATACGATGATGACTTAATGCTAGGTGGCATTCTCTAACAGTGCACCTATTCATCTTTTCTGTGGTTTTAACACTGATGAAGTTTTCGCAAGTGGTTGAAAGAGGCATTAGAGATAAGTAAAGTAAATATTCGAAGATTTCGAGGTCTTTAAAAATTCTCAGTAGTAGCACGGAGTTTGGAATTGTGCCCGGTATATGGCAATAGGCTCACCCCCTATTACATGGGACTCATAACATAAATAGTGAAAAGTTGGTGTTATTTCGTACAGTGACATTAAGTGCCGTAATGTGCACCTTTGCCTATCCCTTCGGGGATAAAAGACGTTATGTTGAGATCAGATAATCAGATCTCATGTGATACTCAAGAGTGTGTGTGGAGAATAAAAACTTTGTTATAAAAAAATATATCGAAAACACAGCACCTCTTTTTACGTTTTTGGGGTAATAAACGGAATGCAATTCTATATGAAACTTACATAAAAATATAAAACCCAGTGGAATATGGCAGGCTCTCCCCAGCCTCCTGGCAGTGTTTCACCGTGACGTCAGACGCTATGCTGCTGACGGTGGCAGCCTCATACACCACCCTGCTCAACTTGGAGACTGCTGATGATGAGCAGGACGCTGGTATACATACACCCCAAAAGATGTAATTCACAGGCATGCCTGATGCTGTTGGTGACTGGAATGGGACCAGAATAAGTTATTTTTGTTTATTTTTTTTTGTTTTTATTTTTTAAGTTAGTTTTCCATTATATGAATAATTATGAATATGATATGAATGATTATGAAATTATTTTCTATATTCTGATATTACTTTTAGTTGCAAATACCTTAGTTTTTATTTAACTTAGCCCTAGTTTTTTTAATGGTAAGCGATCAGCGCCGCCCATGGCACCGCGCGCACCCGCAACACCAGAGGTTCGTTGCCAGCCTTTTAAAAAACAATACGCTCGTTTCTTGAAGATTGAAGGTCGTATCGGTTCGGAAATACCGCCGACGACAGATCATTCCACAGTTTTACTGTGCGAGGCAGAAAGCTACGCGAGAAGCGCACAGTTATTTATTATTTAGTCTCTATTCATTTATAGATACGAATCAAACTACACTAAACTATTACATTACATATTAATAAATAATAATAAATAAAATAAAATAAAATAAAATAAAATGGTTGGAGGGTAGACTCCGTCACGGTAACACAGTGCTCCGTAGAAATTAATAAATTAAAATAGTAAACTTCATTGTAATACCAAGTAAAACGTTTAAAAGTAAAGAGTGTAGTGACAGTTACCAGTGCAAAATCCAAAAGTTAAATCAAAACTGTAAATTAGCAAAAACATCAAGAAATGGTCATTTAATAACAAGGTTGACGGTGTTATGATGAATAGGAAAGGAAGCTACGCATAAGAAATGAACAGAAAATTATAATAAAGTGCATAAATAATCGTTATTATAAATATATAAATAGAAATAAGTGATAAATTGCAAAATATATAAACTAGTGATATCAAAGAATAAAAAGTCGACCTTCGGACGTGAATATTAAAAAAAAAAGAAGACGGTACGGTGAAAAATTACCTGCAAGGAATATGAATATAGCTCGCTAATTCGACACTTATGCAAATACATTGATGGCAAGATCGTGTCCGTGTCCACCTTTCGAGTAACGAATCGTGCGTTCGAAACCAGCATTCACCGCGTCACTTTTTGTAAAAATAGTAATTGTTATAAGCATCTTTACGAGAAGTTTATGTCTTCTATCGTAATATTATTATCATTGCACTGAGAACGCAGTGTACAATAAAAACCACTAGAGGGCATTACATACACCATGGAAGAAATAAAAAAGCTACTAGAGAATATGCAACAAGAAATTATACAGTCAAAAACCGAAATGTTGGAAATGAAAGAAGAAATTAAAGCAACTATTATTACCAATTTAAATGAAAAGTTTGCGAATATAGAAGCGAAACAAAATCAATTCGAAACCAAAATGCAACAACAAAGTTTAGCGATAAAAAACTTCGACAGATATATACGGCGCAAGAATCTAATCCTGTTTGGCGTAGAGGAACACGAGAAATCATACCATGAGCTGGAGAAAACCGTAATCAACCTAATAAATATACACTTTAATTTGGAGTGCAATAATTTGTGTATAGAAGGAGTTACAAGACTTGGAAAAAAGAAGGATACGATTAGACCTGTAAAAATAACTTTCAGCACAATAGGAGTAAAAATTAATATCTGGAAAAAGAAAAAACTCCTGGAAAATACTCCTTACTACTTGAAAGAGGACTACCCTCTAGAGATCCTAAATAAGCGTAAGGAACTGCAAGAACAATTGATTCAAGAAAAACAACAAGGCAACAAGGCCTACCTCAGCTACGATAAACTTATCGTAATTAAAAATAAAGAACAACTTCTTCGTAGTCAAACAAATAAAAGAAACCTGTCTGAATCACCTGAACTAACACATACAAAAAACCAAGTAGTCAAAAGAGACCAAAAGCAGTCTTATAAAAAGAACAAGATATCAAATCTAAGAGATTTTATTATACAAAAACCAAAACCTAACCATATTCCCGTTGTTGATTCTCAGGATCAGCCTGAAAACAAAGAAAATAGCACGCACAATAGTGACAAAAAATAACAATTAACAACGGCCCCTCCTGCCTTTCATCTCCCATTACGGTTGGTCACCGCGGGAGAGTTCGACCAAAACCCTCCAGAAAACTCTACTAATAACAAACACACCAAAATAGATTTATTCCAAGTGGCAACATACAATGTAAGAACTTTATCAACAAGTCACAGACTAATGGAGTTGATGGACTCCTTGAAAGACATAGAATATGACGTAATCGGTCTTTCTGAAATCCGGCGTATAGGCACATCAATTCAAGAGCACAATGATTTTATATTTTGCTATACGGGGGAAACACGAGGACTGTATGGCGTGGGTTTCATCGTTAAGAAGTATCTCAAAAGAAACATCGTCAGTTTCGAAGGATTATCAGAGCGAGTAGCTATTCTAAAACTAAATATAAATTATTTTCAACTAGACATACTACGAATCTTTCTATAGTACAATTAATAAGGCTCTAAAAAGCTCTGGTAGGAACATTGTGGTTATGGGTGACTTTAACTCAAAAATTGGTCACCCTAGGCCAGAAGAAAACCTTGTAACAAAAAATCATGGATATGGTATAAGGAATGGTAGGGGTGAGCGCCTGATGGATTTCGCATACGAGAACAAACTGAGCATTATGAATACCTTTTTTAAAAAACCTAAAAATCTAAGATGGACCTGGAGATCCCCAGATGGAAACACGAAGAATGAAATTGACTACATATTAACAAATCTAGACAAAAATGTTCTAAATGTACAAGTTTTAAATGTCAACTTCCCCACTGATCACAGACTTTTGAGAGCTTCTTTTATACTACGAAAAGTTAAGAAAAGCCGTACGAAATTCACCAACTGTCTAAGAAATTCATTAAAAAACGAATCCGAAATATCTACATACAAACTATCTCTGGAAAAGCACGAAGACCTACTGCAATATCGAGAGGACGTCACCATACAGGCCAACTACGATAATATAATTCGAGGCTTGGAAAGTAGTCTACAAATACCACAAAATGCCGGAAAAGACACGACTAAACCTAGTGCGATTTCCGCCTACACCAGGAAACTAATGGATAGAAGAAAACAACTACATATTATCAAACCTAAAACAAGATCAGAGAAAAATGAACTAAAAGCACTATATAAACTCATAAGTAAGAACATTAAGAGAGACTACATTCTTCACCGATTGAAAACCATCGAGAAACATATAAAAACTACTGGCAGCATTAAAAAAGCATACAGGGAGCTAAACACTCACAAATTATGGATCAAGGAATTAAAAGAGACTGACAAACTATCACATAACAGGATCGATATTATGAAAACCGCAACAAATTTCTACAAAAAACTATATAATTGTCAAACCTCAAACTCCTTAAATATTTACGATCCCACCAACATCCAGACACAATTACCACAATTACCTGCTAAAAACGGACCACAAATAAAAACGATAGATGCGATGGAAGTTATAGAAGGAATAAAGAGACTGAAATTAGAAAAATGTCCAGGCCCTGACGGAATTACTAACGAGGCAATAAGAATAGGCTGTAAGCATCTGGTACTTCCTCTGACACATCTCTTCAACTCTATACTAGATTCGGGCATCACGCCTTTTCAATGGTCGGAGTCGAACATGATTCTACTCTACAAGAAAGGAGATCCCACGAATATAAGCAACTATCGCCCTATCAGTCTGTTGCCCACACTCTACAAACTCTTTTCATCGATAATCGAAAAGAGGATCAGTGAGAGTCTTGAGGAACACCAACCGATAGAACAAGCTGGTTTTAGGAGGGGATATTCTACAATAGATCACATCCATGCGATAGAACAAATAATCGAGAAATATACTGAATATCAGAAACCACTGTACGTGGTGTTCATCGATTACCAGAAAGCCTTTGACACAATTCGACACTCTTCTATATGGACCGCCTTAAGATCACAAAACGTTGAACAGAAATATATAAAAGTCATAGAATATTTGTACAACAACTGCACAAGTAGAATTAAACTTGAAACAATGGGTCCACGGATACCCATAAAGAGAGGTGTAAGACAAGGCGACCCGCTATCTCCAAAACTTTTTATAGCCGTACTAGAGATGGTCTTCAGCAAACTTAACTGGGATAGAACAGGGCTAAACATTAACGGCAAGTTTATCAGTCACCTTAGATTTGCCGACGATATTATTCTACTATCCGAGAGTGCTGAGGAGATGGAATCAATGTTACACTCACTAAAAACTATGAGCTACGAAGTAGGCTTGGAAATGAATCTAAATAAAACAAAAATTATGTCCAACAGCAAAAAACACCCGGTATATCTTGATCAAATACCATTAGAATACTAGACAGTTACATTTATCTAGGCAAACAAGTATCCTTCGGAAAACAAAGTAACGAACTGGAAGTTGAAAGAAGAATCTTAAGCGCATGGAAAAAATTCTGGAGCTTTAAAGAAATATTAAAAGGATCAACGCCTATGAATTTAAAGAAAAAACTGATGGATACATGCCTGCTCCCCTCTATCACCTACGGATGTCAAACATGGAAATGCACCCTAGGCGTAAGAAATAAGATCAGAACCTGCCAAAGATCTATGGAAAGAAGCATTACAAATATTAGAAAAATACAAAAAATCCCACACAATATCATACGGGAAAAGACTAAACTGATAGATGTCCTAAACTTCTCACAAAAGTTAAAATGGCGTTGGGCTGGCCACGTAGCTAGGTTGAGCGATGACCGTTGGACCTACAGACTGACATTATGGCGGGGTCCCAGAGGTATCAGAAAGAGAGGTAGACCTATAACTCGTTGGGATAACGATATTATAAAAATAGCTGGTGAAAAGTGGAAGACAATTGCCAAAGATAGGGATATATGGAAAAGTCTGGAGGAGGCCTTCACCCTCACATAAGAGGGGTTCTTGCATGCTTGCATGATGTTTTTATAATTTATTATATTTTATACACCTTGCAGATTGAATATTCTTGTAATTTTGATTATTATAAATGTCGTAAAATTGAATTTATTATAATTATTTTAAATTTTAAATGTGTAATTAAATTTATATAAAAGTAATTTTAAATCAATAATGGAATTCATTTAATGATGATTCTCATAACTTTTATAATTATTAATATGGAATATAAATAATTTTACATTAAGAAACCATTATTTAATCATTTTTAATTTTTCATGTTTCTTTTGTTATGTTATGTTTTTCATGTTAAGTAATTTTGCAAGAAATAAAAGGCTTTTTATTTTATTTTATTTTATTTTTATTTTATTATTTATTACATGATTATGGGGTGTCGTGGTGGCCCGGAGGTTCAAGACGCTTGCTTCTCATGCACGAGGGTGCAGGTTCGAAACCTACCAACGGCAAGTAGGTACCAATGTGACTTTTTCCGAGTTATATGTACTTTCTAAGATTATTTAGACACCACTGACCAACAGTGAAGGAAAACATCGTGAGGAAACCTGAACTTATAATTTCTAATTATAAGTTTGAAATCGCCAACCCGCATTGAACAAGCGTGGTGATTAATGCTCAAACCTTCTCCGTGTGAGAAGAAGCTTTGCTCAGCAGTGGGCACTTATAAGATGATGATGATGATGCCATGATTATGTGAAAACATTTTTAATGTTAAGAAGTAATTAATTCTCTGTAAACAATGCAATTACGGGTTAAATGCTAGCAAAGATCAATGGTTGAACTTAATTATGAAGTTTAACTGTTGTCTACGTGTTTGTGCAGTTTAATGCTTAGATTTAATTTCCTGTTCTCTATAAACTGTTGTTTCTAGTCTACATTAAGAATGTATGATTAAATGAGGTATTTTCAGGAAGTGTTTGAAAAAGAATGGGTAGAGACTAAGGGCCGGTTTTAACTGAGGAATAATTTTGAATAGTTACTTGACAATTTTTCCATATTATAAACTTCGTCATCTGTGTCAATTTTATTCTACAGTCAAGAATTAACTGATGATTAAAAATCGGCTCTTAAAAAGATCTATGAATTAATGATTAAATAAAATAGAGAGATGACGAAATAGGGAAGATTTTGGTGGATGCCATTAAGAAAAAATTTTAATCAATTTTATAAAGGTATTGAGGAATGTGTGGGCCACAAATGGGCCGGCTCAACCGGAGTGATACCACGGCCTCACAGAAAACCGAAGTGAAGCAACGTTTGCGTTGTGTTTCGTCGTGTGAGTGAGGTTACCGGAGGCCCAATTATGGTATTTTATTGATGAATTTAATGTCTAATAGAAAAGAATAGAAAAAGAAAACATTACACTAACATTATCAGGTTTAGGTATAAAAATACTTACATTAATAAATTCCTTAGTAGGTCCAAAAGGATCATAATCTGGTAGTTTTTTCATATTACTGATATCAGAGAGCTGGACTTGGGTCATGCAGTACTTGGTCTTTAGTTCTGGATGGGTGAGCAACCATGGTGGCTTCATACATTGGTCGAAGCTTGCATAATGAACGTAGGAACCGTATAGATTGCCAGTTGGAAGGGCGTTTGCGTTCAATACTAAAAAAACAAATCAATAGTCTTACTATATTTACTATTACGAGCAGACGGATCACCTGATGGTAAGCAATCGGCGTCGCCCATGGACACCTGGAACATCAGAGGCGTTACAAGTGTGTTATCGGCTTTTTAGGAGTTTGAGGATCGTTGGGGATTGAGGGATTGTGGAGATTGGGGAAGGGGATAGTAATTGGGCCTCCGGTAACCTCACTCACACGACGAAACACAACGCAAGCGTTGCTTCACGTTGGTTTGCTGTGAGGCCGTGGTATCACTCCGATCGAGCCGGCCCATTTGTGCCGAAGCATGGCTCTCCCACACTTGACCCACACACTAATATGATAAATGCGAAAGTATTTGTGTTTGTTTGTAGTCAAAACGGCTGAACAGTTTAGGATGAAGAACAGGGTAGACTGTGGTCTGGAAGAGCTACCTCCGCTCTCCTTAAGGTGACTGGCGATATAAGAACTGGCCTCGAGAACACCATGGTTACAATTCTGGTTTTAGTTGATTTCTCGAATGCCTTCAATATGGTCAGTCACGACATCCTTCTAGCCGTCCTATCCCATCTTACGATCTCTGACAAAACACTGAACTGGTTCTCTTCTTATCTTCAGGGGCGTCAGCAGTCGGTCAGGGTTGGTGATGGTTCATCTACTTGGCGTGAACTAGGGGCTGGCGTTCCTCAAGGCGGTATACTATCTCCTCTTTTATTTTCTATCTTCATTAATTTTATAACTTTCGAACTTCAGTGTGCGTACCATCTGTACGCTGATGACTTGCAGCTATATCGTCAAGCTGGTGTTAATGAGCTGTCTGATGCGATCTCGGAGATGAACGGTGACCTGGCGGCCGTTAAGAACTGGGCCGATAGGTTCGGCATAGCAGTTAATCCTGCAAAATGCCAGGCCATTCTTATAGGTGGCTCCCGCACGCTGAATGGAATTGACATGGCGTCCTTGCCGGCCTTGGTCTTCGATGGTGCGGTAATCCCGTTTAGTAGTGAGGTGAAAAACTTGGGCCTGCACATGGATAACAGTCTGAAGTGGCAAGCTCAGGTCACCAGCGTATGCAAAAAGGTTACTGGATCTTTGCGGGCTCTCTATCGCGCTAAAAACTTACTTCCTCCTGCTACGAAGGCTATGTTGGTGCAGGCTTTGGTTCTCCCTATTATTGATTATGCTGATGTGTGCTACTACGACCTGAATGCAGATCTCCTCAACAAGCTTGACCGTCTTCTGAATAACTGCATTCGATTCGTTTTCAACCTGCGTAAATATGATCATGTTTCTGCACATCGGATGCAACTAAAGTGGCTGCCCATACGCCAGCGCAGGGAGCAAAGGGCGCTAACCACCCTATTCTCCTTTCTTTGTTCACCTTCTTTGCCCAGTTATCTTTCCCCTTATTTTCAATATCTATGCGCAAACCACAGCAAAAACCTTCGTTCTTCTCATAACCGTCTTCTTCAATGTCTCACTCATCGCACCGACTTCTTTCATTCTTCCTTTTTCGTACAGTCAATTTTGCTGTGGAATGCGCTTCCCCTGGATATCAGGATGGTGTCGACTCGTCTATCATTTAAGCAGAAAGTGCGTGAACTTCTCTTGGAGAGGGTGGCTGAATCATCACGCTAATTACTCACAGTCTATATTTATGTATGTATGTATGTATGTATGTATGTATGTATGTATGTATGTATATATGTATATATGTATGAATGCATGCATGTGTATTGTGTTGTACTCGTGTGTAGGTATATATATTATAATTATGTTTATTTATGTTTATCCCTGAAATATGTAAGTATATCTATTTTATTTGCTCTATTAAATAGTTGCTTGCTTCTTGCTCACACCATTAACTCTTCTCTGCATCACCCAAAGGTCAGACTGGGAGAAAATGCCTGCGGCATTAAGTCCACCTTATGTACATTTTGTGCATGAAGCTTACAAATAATAAAATAAATAAGAGCACATATTTTATAGTTAAAGATTAACTGATGTTTATATTAAAACTTTCTGCCTCATTGGCCGAGTCGCAAGTGCGACTGCCGGGCAAGGGGTCTCGGGTTCGATTCCCGGGTCGGGCAAAGTATTACTGGGTCTTTAAAAAATCTCAGTGGTATCACGGAGTCTGGAACTGTGCCAGGTAGGCGGTATATGGCAATAGGCTCACCCCCTATTACATGGGACTCATAACATAAATAGTGAAAAGTGAGTGTTACATTACAGTGGCATTAAGTGCCGTAATGTGCACCTCTACCTACCCTTTCGGGGATAAAAGGCGTGATGTTATGTATGTATGTATATGAAAACTTTCGCGAGACATACTAATTAACTATTATGTTTTCGCCTTACTCACGTAATTATTTGACGAGGAACTCGACTAGTTTCAAGCCATGCTAGAGGCTCATATTAATGAGCAGCATTCTGTGACCCGCGACGCGGCTAATGTCGCGATGCTATTGGTCTAGTTGTGTTCCTCGTCAAACATTTACGTGAGTAAGCCGAAAACATAATAATTAATTTAACTGATGATTGAAAAATCGGCCTTTATCGGTCAGTTCTTACCACGTTCTTACTATCTACAAGAAAATTAGGATAGGTGACGAATGTCGGAATACTGAAACGCTACTCAATTTTAAGTCGTGCTTATTATTAGTATTTTTTTTAAGGGGGGAAAATCATCGAATGACTGCTCCCGCCTGGGTGAGGCGGGAGGGAGTGTCAGACTCTTACTGAGTAAAAACCACCCCGTTCCGTCTCCTGCACGTCGAGCCGGAGCCCCGGTTACCCGTTAGGTTCTCCGCGACTTATTATTAGTATAGTTCTTATTAACGTATAGTTCTATCTGTACAAATTCTTTGTAAAATGACAGATATGCCACGATATTTAAGCACGACTTAAAATTGAGTAACGTTTCAGTATTCCGGCAGTAATCAGTAATTTATCACTACAACAATAAATATTTTAATTCAACAAACTCCTTAGTATTGCACCAGACACATCTGTCCAAGCGAAATGGGACGATTACACGCTATCATGAGCAAGCGAATGCTGTATAATATACTAGTGTTCTAGCCGGTTGGTTGGACAATATTAATGGAGCCGACAAATCTGGTTTAACTGTTTCAATATTATTTATCGACCACTAAAAAGAGGTTGGTTAGTAACCAGTTGACGCTTTTGCGAAAAATCTGCGACTGTCTGCCAGGGGGTCTCGGGTTCGATTCCTGGGTCGGACAAAGTATCACTGGGTTTTAAATAAATTGTCAGTAGTAGCACGGAGTCTGGAATTGTGCCCGGTATAGAGGTAGCAATAGGCTCACTCCCTATTACATGGGACTCATAACATAAATAGTGAAAAGTGAGTGTTACATTGTACTTTGGAGCTATTTCCATATACCGTGCACAATTCCAGACTACGTGCTACTAGTGAGATTTTTTTTAAAAACCCCCGATATACTTTGCCCGACCCGAGACCCCTTGTTCGGTAGTCGCACTTGCGACCACTCGGCCAACGAGGAAATCAGTTAAAAATGTAAGATAATTATTATTATTAAAATTCACCGTTTCTACTATCCAAGTGAACTTCTTGTAATAAATAAACAACGCTAATTACATAATTGGCATCAGGATTTATAGTATACGTATATAAATATACATAATCGCAATAGGTGTAACCTGTTAGAATGTGTTTATTAAAATAAATAAATTAATTAATAATTTGCACAGAATAAGTTGACGATTATGTAGGTAATCTGTAGTTAAGGTTTTAATGACTAAAAAAATATATGATACTAATGTATGATGAACTTACTCCAAGTCGCCCATAAAGTGTGATTCTTGACATTTTCAAAAATATTTAATATTTTTTCCAAACACGGCGCTTCATCTTTCTCCCACTGTTCGAGTTTCAGTTTGTGCGCCAACGAATCTATGAATGTGTCTGCTTGTGGCTTGTGGGCAGCTAGGGGATATACGTGACCTGCAAGAATATTAAATTAAATAACTAAATATATCCTTTAATATGGCAAAGAAAACGGACATAACAGATATTAATATAAAGATCTGAAAAAGTGACAAAATAAGAACAAATGGAATTAAAAAAAAACAAAACATAGGTAAAAGTAATATGATTCCAATATTATTAGTTCTTGCTAAGAAAATTATGCAATTTGCACCTCACTGTTAGTGCCAATACAAACACGTCTCTGGTGTTCCAGGTGTCCATGAGCGACGCCGATTGCTTACCATCAGGTGATCCGTCTGCTGGTTTACCGGCTTATGCCATAAAAAACAAGACCGAATGAGGAAATCCTCGTTTTTAAGTTGGTTAAAATGACATTTTTGGAATCAAAATCGTATTATTTTCCTTATAAATAGAAAATTCATGTGCACTCGTATAAAACTGTAGCAAAAGTTTATAAAAAAATACCACTCGAATTGAGCATCTTCGTTTTAAAGTCGGTTTAAAACATAGGACTGAACTCACCATAAGATAAAATGAAAACTATAAATAGAACAAACATTTTTCAAAATAATGTCGACTAAGAACTGCGTGGCATGACGATCAACTATAAAATAAAGATTAAGTGCATTAGGACCAACTTGTTATACCTATTAAGTACTGAACCTAGGTGCAGTCTTGTAAATAGTATAAGGGGGCATTTACAAAGGTGGGTAAAATAAGCTACGAAGTGATTTGAAACAAAGAAAGCATTTATTTGGCACAGGTGATAGTTACCACAAAAATATAAATGAAAAAAATAACACACACATAATAACAAAAAAAAAAAACAATAGTAAGTCAAAGTCAAAGACAAAATCTTTTATTTCAATTAAACAAAGACGACATTTTGACCGTCAACAAAAATTTTACAAGTGAAGCTATTTCTTAATTCCAATGTGCAGATTCCTATGGAGAAGAACGAGTTAAAAACTCTATAGGTAACTCTTTTTCAATCGGGTTCACAATACAATTCTCTAGTCACATAGTTTTGGATTGTTTGAGGACAATTTAACACCAAAATCCAATAAAAAAATTAATAAAAACAAATTGATGGTAACAATATAATTATTCTTAAATATTTCGTGGGAGAACCATGCTTCGGCACGGGCTTGACGGGGTGATACCATGGCCGAGTAGAAAAACCAGCATGTTCGCATAGTGTTTCGTTTGGATAGTGTTTCATCGTGTGCGTGAGGTTACTACTTCCTATCCTCAATTCCGAACGGAGCCGCGGAGAACTTAACGGGTCACCGGGGCTCCGGCTCGAAGTGCAGGAGAAGGAACGGGGTGGTTTTTAGTCAGTAAAAGTCTTACACTCACTTCCGCTTCACACAGGTAGGAGAAGTCATTCGATGATTTTCCCGACTTAAAAAGAAAAAAAAATCCCTAATTCCGAAACCCTAAAAGGTTGGTGATGCTGTGTGTTTCCTCTGGTGTGCATAGGCGACGTCAATCATGTGTCGTAAGGTGATCCGTCTGACGTGTCGTGAGTCGCGCAATGCTGCTCATGAATATGAGACTTTTTTTTTTGGGAAAATCACGCCTTGAGATGGAGGGTCAGACTCTTACTGACTAAACCACGCCTTGCCTACTTCTGCTCTTTGAGCTGGAGCTCCGGCAAGTGTCTTGTGTCAAGTGTTAATGTGTCTACTACTTTTTCATTACATACTGTCATTATCCCTATTGTTTGATAAAATGAAATAAAGCTAGTAGTTATAACTTAATTAATTCTATAACCGCGATAATAAATATCGATACGAGTTACCATTATGTATGCAAATCCTAGTTTATTGGTTATCGTTCTAATGGCTTTATATAACTTAATGCTTATGAAAGCCTCCATGCAAGCCTGCATGTATTGTCTTTGGATAAGGTGACACACGTGTCATAAAACAAACGTCAATTGAAATATTCTAGCTACAAATTGAAATATTGTAAAGAGTTAATTTTATTTCGATAATATAGGATAGTAATTTTAGTTATTTAATTTAAAGAATTTAAGTGAGGATCGACGGGCTAAAGCAGTGACAATTAATTGTCGATTCTCTATTGTTATAGGTTAGTATTCCGAGGTTTCATATTTTATATTTTTTTATTAAAATATTGTTATTTTATTTAAATAAAACTCTATTGTTATAGATGAATCCTATTATTTCATTGCTGTCTCAAATCCTCATCTTATAAATCGACAATTTTGGTCACGTGTGAAGATAAATACAAGTATTATAAACATACGTACGTAATGGAGAAATTACAATTTGAATTCATCGTGAAAGCGAAGCCGGATGATAATAAAACCAATATCTATGCCATAACTACCATCACGGATACACAAGGCCAAACTTATATTATGCCTCGAGAATATCAATCGGTGCAGTTACACAAAGAAATAATGAAACATGAAATATTTGACAAAATAAAGAAATCGCTCCAAAAAAGGCATGATAAGAGACAGGTTTGGATTACATTAACTAAAGATATGAAAAGTACATACTTGAATGATGGCAACATACAATTTGATGGGTATTTGCTTGAAAAATTAGAACCAAGTCAAGAGTCGTCATCGACAGAGTCATTGTCGAAAATAGGAAATAAAACAAAACTATTAGCAGAATTTTCAATACAGAAGTTTTCAAGAAATACAACAAATGTTCAACAATGGTTAGATACTTATGAAAGTGAATGTGCGCGCTTACAAATAGATACGGATTTACGAAAGATAGAAATGCTAAGATTACTATTTAGAAGATACGTGTATGGATTGGTACACCTCCATGATTATAAAATATACAATTGATTCGGAGTGGTCTGTATGGAAGAAGAGTTTATGTGAAGCATTTGCCGATAAAGGATGGTTACCAATCCGATATGCTATTAATTTTAAATACATACAAGGATCAATGTTAGAATACGCTCTAAAAAAAGAGAGACTATTACTAGAAGCTAACAATACAATAGATAAAAAAACTCTAATTTTCTTGATTGCCACTGGTCTACCAAACTTCATAATGGATAAAATAGACAGAGAAAGCATTAAAGAAGTAAATGAGTTATTTAACTGTATAAGAGGACTAGAAACTTTTGCAAGAAAATATGATACGAAGAAAACCCAAAGCACAGGAAATACATACATTAAACAAGAAATAAAACAAACTGGAAAAAAGTCCTGCAAGATTTGTGAAAATAATGGAAAATTTAATAGGTTTCACCCCGAGAATGTTTGCTGGTACAGTCGTGATAATAAAACAACTGACAAAAAATCCTTTAACTCTAATTCAATACTGGAAGTTGAACTCAGTAATGAAAACCAAAAAAACTAAATCTCCCTCCACTAATTGAGATAACAGTAATGTTAAACAATACATTAAAAGCCAAGGCGCTGTATGATCCTGGTTCACGAATAACATTAATTAATTCTAAATTAGTTCAGATAGCAAATACAAAACCAAATACCTGCTATAAAACAATAAAAACAATAAGTGGAGGAGGAGAAACTAAAGGTTTAATTACACTGGATGCAGAATTATTAAACAGAAAGAATAAAATAAATGCATTTATCTTTGAAAACGAACATTTTAATTATGATTTAATACTAGGATTAGATTCAATATATACATTTGGGTTGACTCATGATGAGAATTTAAATATCCAGATACACAAAACAAACAATTCTAAAATAAGTAGCAATGAAGATGAAAATAGACAAACTAATAATATGGAAATAAATATAGAAGGAAAAGAGTATGCAGTAAACTTCAATGAAGGTATAGATACAAACCAATTTAATATAGATACAAGATTCTTAAACACTGAACAAAGGAAACAGATAAATATGTTATTGGAGAATTACTCTGAAATATTTGCAAGGAACAAATATGACACTGGAAAAGTAAAAATGTATGAAGCCTGTATAGATTTGCAAATTGAAAAGTATTGTTATAAAAGACCATATAGATGTTCAGTTCAAGATAAGATCGAAATAGAAAATCAAATTTCGCAGCTATTAAAACACGGATTAATCGAGGAATCTTACAGTCCATTTGCCGCACCAGTTACTTTAGCTTTTAAAAGAGATGAAGGAAAAAGAAGTAGACTGTGCATAGATTTCAGAGATTTAAATAAAATAATTATACCTCAGTCACAACCATTTCCACTAATAGAAGGCCTACTAACTAAAACAATAAATTGTAATTATTTTACAACCATGGACATAAATTCAGCATTTTGGTCCATTCCTTTGAAAATAACGGATCGATACAAAACTGGTTTTGTAACTCAGGAAGGTCATTACCAATGGACTTGCTTACCCTTCGGACTGAAGACATCTCCAGCCATATTCCAACGGATTTTGGGAAATATTATGAGAAAACATGATCTGACAGGATTTGCAGTGAATTTCATCGATGACATATTGATATTTTCTAAAACATTTGAGGAACATATCACACATATAAAAAAGTTGCTGGATGCTATTAGAGAAGAAGGCTTCAGACTAAAATTAACAAAATGTAAGTTTGCACATGATTCTGTCAAGTATTTGGGTCATATATTACAGAAGAATACAATTACACCTCTAAATGATAATTTAATTTCAATAAAAAATTTCCCTACTCCTCAAAATAGAAAGCAAATACGACAATTTTTGGGGAAAATTAACTTTTATGGAAAATATATTCCAAATGTCTCAGTAGTTCTTGATCCACTCCATAAATTGCTGAGAAAAGATCAGAAATTCAATTGGACAGAACAGTGTGAGGATGCATTCCGGAAAATGAAAGATTATATATGTTCAAAACCAATACTGGCCATTTATGATCCACAAGCACCAATATTTATTTATACAGATGCCAGTTCCATTGGAATAGGAGCAGTCTTGAAACAAACTCAGCTAAATGGTGAAGAAAAACCTGTAGCATACTTTTCCAAAAAAATTAAGAATCACAGAAACATAAAAAAGCTATATTTTTAGAATGTTTAGCAATTAGAGAGAGTATAAAGTTTTGGCAACATTGGTTGATTGGAAACCATTTCACTATCTATACAGATCATAAACCCCTTGAGAAGTTAAATATCAGAAATAGACCTGATGATGAATTAGGAGACATGTCACACTATTTGTCACAATATAATTGTGAAATCAAATATAACCCTGGAAATAATAATACTGAAGCAGATTGTCTCAGCAGAAACCCAGTATTGGATGTTAATGAAAATAATGAAGATATATTAAGAACAGTTAATATTATTGATATTGATGACATAAGATATGATCAAGAGAAAAATGTGGGATTAAAAAATTTGGGAAAGAACGTTGTTTTTGAAGATGGGGTTTATTATAGAAAATGTGGAAAAAATAGGAAGAAAATTATTCTAAGTGAAGCTTACAGTAAAACTATAATAAAGAACACACATGAAGAATATTGTCATACTGGAATAAATCAAACAGAATCAAAAATAAAATCCTTTTATACAGCCCCAAATTTATCGGAAAATATCAAAAATATATGTAAAAACTGTGAA